TACTCACAAAGGGCTCAGATCACACTGCGGGCAGCCAGGAGGGACAGAGATGTGGTCGAGGGGACAGTGACACGTGGGATGGCCAGCATGGCACCGTACCTCTGAGACAGAGTCCCCTCTAAGTCAGTTCATGAACTTTTGACATTGACCAAAAAACCTCAGAGAGCAGCCAGGGGTGGGCTGGCCAGACCATCATGGAGCAGAAAAAGACAGAGGCTGCCTAGCGTCTGGAGTGTCTGGAAGGCAGGCTCTGTCTAGGCACTGCTTTGAACCCAAGCCAGACTTCATTACACCAGTAGCCGAGAGACTGCCTGGCCTCCAGTCCCCTTCCTCCTCCCAGTACCACAGAGTACACCAAGCCTCCAGCACTTGACAGCTCCAGCATTTTGAGCTGGCTGATGCAACCTGCTAGAGTGGCCCCCTGAACCAGCACCCATGCAGGTGACAGCCAGTGGCCTCCAGGTGGACTGTCAGGAAGCAGGCCTGGTAATGTCCACCACCTACCAAGGCCCCGGCTCTCGCATGCGTGTGCACGCGTGCATGCTCTCTTTCCAGGTGCCAGGCCCAGGGGCCTTCAGATTGATCACATCTTCCCTTCCCTCAGTGTCCTGACCTGACCACTTAGGCGGCACTCATCTCGCCACCCTAAAGTAAAGCCCACAGGAGGCAGATGGGGGCGGATGTCAGGGTCCAGAGGATGGGACAGCTGGGAACCAGCAGCCCAAGCCACTCCCCGGGCGTCCACCAGGACCTGCAGGGCCTCAGAGGCAGCCAGAGGGACAGCCACCGCCCAGGAGACCAGCGCTGTCCTCACAGCTGCCAGCCAGAAGCAGAGTGGAATATGAGATGAATGCTGGGTTTTAAAACCTGAGCACCAAAAGTAGAGCTGTGGCTCAAAGTGGTAAAGTGCTAGTCTTGAGCAAAAAAGCTCAGGGGCAGGGCCCGGAGCCTGAGTTCAAGCCTCATGACCAACAAAAACTAAAACAAAAGCAAAAAAAACTTTACCCTAAAATAAATGACCAGCCAGGCGCTGGTGGCTCACGCCTGTCATCCTAGCTACTCAGGAGGCTGAGATCTGAGGATCATGGTTCAAAGCCAACCCGGGCAAGAAAGTCTGTGAGACTCTTATCTCCAATAAGTCACTAGTAAAACGGGAAGTGGCGCTGTGGCTCAAGCAGTAGAGCATTCACCTTGAGCTGAAGAGCTGAGGGACAGCGCCCAGGCCCAGAGTTCAAGCCCCACGACTGACAAAAAATAAAAAACATATAAAAAATAAAATAAAAGCCGGGCGCCGGAGGCGCCTGTAATCCTAGCTACTCAGGAGGCTGAGATCTGAGGATCATGGTTCAAAGCCAGCCCTTATCTGTTGGCCCCCAATCCTGCCTCTGAATTCACCCCAAGGAGGTGGCGGCTGGAGAGCCTGCCCCGGCGCGGCCTGGGGGCTGCACAAGGAAGTACTTGAGGGCTGGTGCTGTCACATGAGCCAGCATGCAGCATTAGTCAGGTCTGCCACAGGAAAAGCACTGAGCATCTCTACGAAGACAGTATGACAAAGGAAGAAGCAGAAGAAAAAGGGAAAGCCAGGCACTGGAGGCGCACGCCTGTAATCCTAGCTGCTCAGGAGGCTCAGAGCCAGCCCTGCCAGAAAAGTCTGTGGGACTCTTACCGCCAATGAACTAAAATAAGCCGCAAGTGGTACTGACTGTGGCTCAAGAGGGAAAGCACTGCCCTTGAGCAAAATGGAGCTGAGGAGGGCACCTCAGCCCTGAGTTCAAGCCTCATGACTGACACCAAGAAAAGGAGAGGGGGAGAAATCAGTCTGTACCCCAAGTTCACACACTATCCATCCTCCACAGGCCAGTGTCACCAGACCCCAGAGGCTGAGTGAGCGCCCAGCACCTCCGCGCCCGCTGCTGTTGGAAAAGTGTCCTCCGCGCTGTGTCTTCAGCTGGACCTCCTAGGAGCCGCGCAGACCCAGGGCCGTGACAACACCAGAGCCGCCCCTGACTCTGCGGCGCCCTCAACCACTTGGAGGCTGCCCTAGCACAGGAGCCACTCGGCTTGTCTTTGCTTCCGCACATTACGACTGAGATGGCCACAAAGGAAATGGAGCCCTCCATCCACACATCTTGATACTACGCCAACCCGGGGCACCGGCTGAGAACAGCATCCTGGGGGCTCACTTCTTTCCCAAGTTACTTTCTGTACTTGTTTGTTTGTTTGCCCTTGACCAGAACTCAAACTCAGTTGTCCGTCGCTTGCCTCTGCTCGCTGGCTGGCGCCTTACGGCCTTAGCCAGGCCTCTACCCGATGTGTCCAGCTTTGTCTGTGCCCACCTCGTGCCCTCCTCCCCCAGCAGGGTCTGAGGTGTCCTCCTTCCTAGAGAGGTGTGCAGGGCAAGTGGGCTCTTCCTCATTCAGGAGCGCCTGTGTCCTATCCTCACTGTTCCATGACACCCTGGCAAGATAGAGAATTCCAGAACAAGTAGGATTTTGGGTACCACTCCACCAGCTCCAGGGGTCCTGGCCTGCTCGGCCCTGTGAGCCTGTCTGTCCCCAAGCTCTGTGTTCCACAGTGACACAGGACTCTGACCCACAGACAGGGGCCTACAGAACCGTCCTAGTTAAACACCTCACTTTCCGTTGCAGGTGTTATGCACGCTCGCTCTCTCTCTCCCTGCCCCCCCCCCTTTTCCTGGTAAAAGTTTTATGCTGCAGCCACAGGCCTCCCAGTTGGGAACCTCAGGCCTTCTGTGCTGGCACGTCCTCTGCTATGGCCACAGGCTCTTGGGAGAAACCTCAGGCTTGCTGGTCAGTGGTCTGGCATTACAGGCTGTGGGGCTGAACAACCCAGCTGACCCCAAGTGACCACAGTCTCCGCCCTCCACCAGGACTCCAGCCCCTCTGCCGGAGCAGCTAGGTCTCCCTCAGAGGGTGCGCCACACGACCTGACAGGACGCAGCGACCCCCAGCACCGTGCTGCCGACTCCAGGTGGCCATATGCTTCCAGGCTTCCACCAGTGCCCCACAGGCTTCTCGGCCAATACCACCACCTGACCGGCCTGGCCCCTCCGTGGCCTCTGAGCACAGTGGCAGCACTCCCTCCACACCCTTATCCGGCCGCGCGCACCGCTTACACCCATCCGCCACCCATTTCCACCAGCACTGCCACCACTGACTCCTACCCTCCTCCACAAGCACCACACCGGAGAGCTGGGCGCTCCTGACAGCCCTGAGTAGATTTTCCTGTCTATAAGACACAACCTTTTACACACTCAAACCACTGTGTCAGCCCATTTCCTCAGGGCTCCAGGCACATGAGCTCATCTCATACCAACCATGCTACAGATGAAGTTACAGAGGACCAGAGGGGGCAAACAACTCACCTCAGCCACACAGCAAATACTATGCCTCCCACTGTGTTGGTTTGAATCATTAAAAGTTGAAGAGGCACATCAGGCGCTGGTGGTTCATCCTGTAATCCTAGCTATTCAGGAGGCTGTTCAAAGCCAGCCCAGACAGAAAAGTCTTATCTCCAATTAGCCACTCAAAAACAGGAAGTGGGGGCTGGGAAGGTGGCTCAGTGGTAGAGCGCTTGCCTTGCATGCTCAAGACCCTGGGTTCGATTCCTCAGCACCACATAAGCAAACAGAAAAAAGCCGGAAGTGGCGCTGTGGCTCAAGTGGTAGAGCGCTAGCCTTGAGCTGAAGAGCTGAGGGACAGCGCCCAGGCCCAGAGTTCAGGCCCCACGACCGGACCCAAAAAAAAAAAAAAAAAACAGGAAGTGGAGCTGTGGCTCAAAGTGGTAGAGCCTTGAGCAAAAGAGCTCAGGAATAGCACCCAGACTCTGAGTTCAAGCCCCACAACCAAAAAACAAAACAAAACAAAAAAACAAAAACAAAAGTTGAAAAGGCGAGGCCTTGTAATCCCAGCTATGTGGGAAGTGGAGATGGGAGGTCAGGGGCAGGAGGAGAAGAGAATACAGTTCCAGGACAGGTTGAAACAAAGGCACAAGAAGGTTTGAGGCTCTACCTCACTGGATGCAGTGGCAAATGCCCGGCAACAAGGGGAGCACAAGGAGGAGGCTCACAGTCCAGGCTGGCCCAGACAAGAGCGAGACCCCACCGTGAAGATAACCCACAGAGGCCAGGAAGTGGCAGAGCGCTTGCCTTGCACGCATAAAGCCCTGGGTTCCATTCCACAGAAAAAGCAGGAAGTGGCGTTGTGGCTCATGTGGTAGAGTGCTAGCCTTGAGCAAAAGAAGCTCAGGGACAGTGCCCAGTCCTGAGTTCAAGCCCCAGGACTGGCAACAAAAAGAAAAAACAATAATAACCAATAGAAAAAGGGCCTGGAGGAGTGCTTCAGGTGGTAGGTCACCTGCCTAGCAAGTGTGAGGCTGCGAATTCAGTCCCCAGCACCACAAATAATAAAGATAATAATCATCACCGGAAAAAAGATTCCCACCTCACAGTGAAGAGAGCCAAAACATAAAGGGATCACTTCTACACATTCTAGAGTACAGTCTAAACCATTAAACCACAGGAAGAGAGGCGATCAAGAAGACTTCACACCAACAAAGTCTTTGTGAAGGAGTCATCACATACCCTTTTATCTGGTTCTTTGCAAGGGTCCCCAAAACACAAACTCCATCCAAGGAAACATAGGCACTGTAAAATATCCCCAATACCTTCCTTCCTTCTCATGGCTCCCCAAGCCTTGGAAGGTCTCTTCTGTCCTCATCAAGACAGAGGCATGACCATTCTCTTCTCAGAGGGGGAGGCAGGGCGGTCAGGGCTGGCAGCTCAGCAAGATAACCTACTGGCCACTCCATACCCACCAGCTGCTGCTGGTAACCGACAGTCCCGTGACCCAAATCGTCCTCTCAACCAGGCCTGCAGAGCCAAGGGGCCTGGGCTCTGGCCAGAAGCATGGCATAGGTTTCGGAGTGGCCTGTGACCACAGTAGCACTTCTGCCAGCGAGGCCTATGCAACGATACTCACCTGGTCTGTGTGAAGTGGCTGAGGAGATCCCAGAGGGTCTGGCCTGAGAAGAACGTGTCCTGTAACCGAGAGCCGTCGTCCAGCTGCAGAGCAATGCGGACCTGGAGGGTGGACAGGAGAGATCTCACCAGGAAGTAAAGCAGTGGCCCCATCATACCCAGGGCTGTTTCCTGGACCACACAGGAGGGCACTCACCTCCCCTGGGGCCTCCCATAGAAACTGAGCCAGGGAGCAGACAATGGCCCTGGAGACTGAAGATGGCTGAGGGGCTCCCCAAAGGAAGCACAGGTATGTACACGCACCGGGAAGCGCCACAAGCTCCCCACCCGGCAGCACCTTTGGGAGATGGCCTTCCAGGGGCCACCTGTGCAGCCCCAGGGTGTGAGCTGGGATGCTTTCCTGACTAGCCCCCACAGCTGTGTGATGTGTGCAGGTCTGCTGCTGCACTGCCAAGTTTAGAGTGATTTGTTGCACAACAGACCACTGTTTGAAGTGCTTCTTTTTTTGGGGGGTGAGGGTGGGGGTGGGTCCGGTCCTGGGGCTTGAACTCTGGGCCTGGGCGCTGTCCCTCAGCTCTTCAGCTCAAGGCCAGCGCGCTATCAGTGCGCTATCACGTGGGCCACAGCACCACTACCGGTTTTGTGGTGGTTCATTGGAGATAATAGTTTCACGGCCTTTCCTGCCCGGGCTAGCTAGTTATTTGTTTTGTTTTGGTTTTTTTTTTGTCAGTAGTGGGGTTTGAACTCTGGGCCTGGGCGCTGTCCCTCAGCTCTTCAGCTCAAGATGACTGCTCTACCACTTGAGCCACAGCGCCACTTCTGGTTTTCTAGTGGTTTATTGGAGATAAGAGTTTCACGGACTTTCCTGCCCAGGCTGGCTTTGAACCGCAAACCTCAGATCTCAGCCTCCTAAGTACCAGGATGACAGGCGTGAGCCACCAGCACCTAGCTCCGGGCTAGCTTTGATTCACAATCCTCAGACCTCCGCCTCCTGAGTAGCTAGGATTATAGGCATGAGCCACCAGTGCCTGGATGAATTTTTTTCTATAACTGAGTGCACTGATTTTACTTGTCTACAATGAGGAACATACCCTATAGCCTCAAAAGATCAACCTCAAATATCCTTCTGGTCCCTCTGCCAAGTGACAGACACACTGGGTACCAAGCCTGGGTGTAGACACAAGCCCAACCTACTCCTGTGAGAAAATGACCGCCAATGGCCACCTTTGGCTCTGCACCAGGACCCAGTGTTCACTTCTCTAAGCCGTGGCTCCCTCCCTTTCCAGTGCACACTGACATTAAATCCCAGAAACACACAAGGGAGAAGCAGCCACTCCAGCTGACAAGAGGTCAGAGCCTCCCAGCCCCTGCTCTCAAGGTGCCCCACAGATGAGAAGCAGGGCAGATATGGAAGAAGACCACAGCCCCAGGCACCTGACTCCGCTTATCACCTGCCAGGCATCAGTAGCAGACCCAAGCTTCCTAGTCTCCTGACAAGGATGGGAAAGTTCTTTCCCAGTGGGGCATGGTAGCTAACACATGCCTGGAATCCTAGCATTTGGGAGACAAGACAAGTTTGAGGCCAATCTAGGCTACATATTAAGCTCTGGGGCTGGGAATGGGGCTCAGTGGTAGAGTGCTTGCCTAACATGCAGGAAGCCCTGAGTTCCATTTCTCAGGACCACATAAACAGAAAAAGCCACAAGTGTCACTGTGGCTCAAGTGGTAGAGTGCTAACCTTGAGCTCAGGGACAGTGCCCAGGCCCTGAGTTCAGGCTCTGGGGAGGGGATGGCTCAAGTGGTAGAGTGCTAACCTTGAGCTCAGGGACAGTGCCCAGGCCCTGAGTTCAGGCTCTGGGGAGGGGATGGCTCAAGTTAGAATCCCAGCCACAAGGGAGGTAGGGACAGAGAGTCATGGTTCAAGGTCAGCCAAGGCAAAAGTTTTAAGACCCTTTCTCAGTCAATAAAAAGCTGGGCATGGGGCTGGGAAGGTGGCTCAGTGGTAGAGCGCTTGCCTTGCATGCATGAGGCCCTGGGTTCCATTCCTCAGCACTACATAAGCAGAAAAAGCCGTAAGTGGCACTGGGCTCAAGTGGTAGAGCGCTAGCATTGAGCTGAAGAACTGAGTTCAGGCCCCATGACCAATCAGAAAAAAAAAAAAAAAAATGCTGGGCATGGTGGTATGTGACTGTCAACCTAGTTATACACAAAGTATAAATAGGAAGACTGTGGTTCAAACAGAATTAAGACCCTATGTGAAAACGATAGTAAAAAGGACTGAGGAAGGAGGTTATAGCCAGTACGACCAGAACCAAAACCAAACCTCATTCTTCTCTATCGTACAGAGAGGATACAGAAGCACGGCGGCTCAGGACCCCACCATGGCAGGTACAGAGGGCATCACACCAGAGCGGAGGTCTGCACCTACAGCTGGAGCTCCTGACGCCTCCGGGAGCTCACATCAACCTAGGGAGACGTCACAGCCAGCGGCAGAGCTGTGGCTGGAGCCTGGCCAGCTGAGAGGGAAGCGCTGGCAAAGCCTGGCCCCCCGAATGCTGAGATGGAGCCACGACAGCTGGCCTTGCCAGGGCTCCACAGGGCCTAGAAGCAGAAACGTCAGGCCGGCGGGGGAAGGCTACTGACAACAATGGATGGACGTGGCACCATATACCCACCAAAGGAGTAAACAGATAAACACTCAATCCCCAGTCATTACTAAGTGAAAACACTACTTTGGCCTCACCCAGGAAGACAGAATGAGTCAGGCCCAGGCTGACCCCGTTTGGCTCACTGCAGGACCCATCCTGCCCTCCAGAAGTCCCCCGCAGCAGCAAGCAAGCTCGAGGAGCTGCATGGCCAGTCACCTACCCTGTTTTCTGGCCCCTCACGGCTCCGAGAGGCGGGCACCATTTCCAGCTTGGCATTGTTGGGGAGGTTGGCAAATCTCCACTGGAGGGAGAGGTCAAGCACAGTCCTCTGAAACCTGCAGGACAGACCACAGTCACACGCTGCCCTGCACACTGACGCATGCCCACACTGGCCAGGCCCCAGCGTGACCCCCACCCAGCTGCCCCCACAACAGTGGCCTTCAGAACCAAGCACCCACGCTGCAAGGCGGCAGCTGGAGCCTCTTAGTAACACAAAAGTTGAGGGCAGGACCCGCAGACCCTGAAACAGGGGCAGCCCGGAAGCAGACCCTCCGAAGCAAACACACACAAGCAAACTTCTATCAGATGAAGCCGCAGTATCCCGCTACCTCAGTGGCTCTCGTTCAGGTAACAGCCACCAGTCAAAAAGAACCCTTCCTGGGGTTGGGAAGGTGGCTCAATGGTAGAGCGCTTGCCTTGCATGCATGAGGCCCTGGGTTCGATTCCTCAGCACCACATAAGAAAAAAGAAAAAAGCTGGAAGTGGCGCTGTGGCGCAAGTGGTAGAGCGCTAGCCTTGAGCTGAAGAGCTGAGGGACAGCGCCCAGGCCCAGAGTTCAGGCCCCATGACCAGACCCCCCCCCCAAAAAAAAGAGAACCCTTCCTGCCAGGAAGGGGCTCAGTGGTAGAGAGCTGGCCTTGCATGCATGAGGCGTTGGGTTCAATTCCTTCACACCACATAAACAGAAAAAGCTGGAAGTAGCACTGTGGCAGAAAGAAAGAAAGAGAACCCTTCCTGGGGCTGGGAAGGCGGCTCAGTGGTAGAGCGCTTGCCTTGCACGCATGAGGCCTGGGATTCAATTCCTCAGCACCACATAAACAGAAAAAGCTGGAAGTAGCACTGTGGCAGAAAGAAAGAAAGAGAACCCTTCCTGGGGCTGGGAAGGCGGCTCAGTGGTAGAGCGCTTGCCTTGCACGCATGAGGCCTGGGATTCAATTCCTCAGCACCACATAAACAGAAAAAGCTGAAAGTGGCGCTGTAGCTCAAGTGGTAGAGCGCTAGCCTTGAGCTGAAGAGCTGAGGGACAGCGCCCAGACCCAGAGTTCAGGCCCCACGACCGACCAAAAAGAGAAAAGAACCCTTCCTCCCATCACTCCTGCCTCCCGCCATCCTTCAGGCCTTCAAATGGGCCACACGTGGAGAGCAACACAGATAGCGGTGTTTGTAGACACCATACCTATAATGGCAATGTTCTCAAAGCAAACTCAGGCTAAAACCAGACACACAGCCAGGCCCTCCAACCCACAACAGCCATCATCTCTGTCTGAGGCAGACTGAGCACTTCCCAACCTGTGAGGAAGGGTCAGCATGGACCCCATCAAGGACATAGTGAGCCCAGTATGAAAGAATGTTCACAGACTTTCCCGGGCCCTGAGGGACACAATTTCTCAGAAGCACAGGAAGACCAAGACATCCAAGGGCGGGAAAAGAGGACAGCAGCCTCAAGTACATCTTGGAAACAGCCTCCAAGAGCCTGCGCTCTCCAGAGAGCACAACTACAGTCATGCCTGGCTTGCCTGGAAGACTAGAAAATCAAGGGGAAGGGACAACATGCAGGCTGGCCCTGCAATGGCAGAACTGGGACCTTACTATATGGCTCCTGACATCAGCTCAGAACCCACACAGGCCATGAACCAACAGGAGAAAACACCTGCCCCTGGAAAGACCGCAAGGACAGGCAAAAAGAGAATGTAAAGTTAGGTAGGGTGTGTGCACATGTGCGTGTGTGTGTGTGTGTGTGTAGGTAGGGTGTGTGTGTGTCTGTGTGTGTCTGTCTGTGTGTGTGTGCATTAACCTGGAGCAGACAGGGCTGTGCCTCCAGCCCAGGAGTTTCCCTGACCTTGTCCCCCTTCATCCTAACTCTTATAGCTTGCAGTAACTCCAGATCACAGACTCCCACCAAAGGCTCTAAAACACTCATCTGCATGGCTGTAATTTATGAGACACGTCTAGCATGGCCCACCAGAGGAGAAAATAGGAGGAGAGCATTCTGCCACTCATCCAGAAGTCAGACCTGGAACTATGTTTCTTTTCACTTTTTTAAAAGATTACTTTATTGTCATTACGGAGGTGATGTACAGAGGGGTTACATTCATGAGTCAGGTAGGACAGTGCCTCCTGATCCCGCATCCTCTCCCAGCTCCACCCACCAGTTGCACAGTTCACTTTCTTCGGTGTCCTGTGTGCTCCATTGCTGCATGTTTTCACCCTTTTTCCTCTGACTCAGTACCCTCCCCCCACATTCCCCCAACATGCATATGAGAACACCATAGATAAGATAAAGAATACAAAACCATCAGAAAAAGCTTTTCCTTTCTTTTTCTTTGGTCAGTTGGGCCTGAACTCAGGGCCTGAGCACTGTCCCTTTTTTTTTTTTTTTTTTTTGTCAGTCACAGGGCTTGAACTCTGGGCCTGGGTGCTGTTCCTCAGATCTTCAGCTCAAGGCTAGCACACTACCACTTGAGCCAAAGCACCACTTTCGGCTTTTTCTACTTATATGGTGCTAAGGAATCGACCCCAGGGCCTCAGGCATGCAAGGCAAACACTCTACCACTGAGCCACCTTCCCATGCCCCCAGGGCTGGCTTTGAACCAAAATCCTCAGATCCCAGTCTCCTGAGTAGCTAGGATTACAGAGGTGAGCCACCAGTCCCCAGCTCTTTCTGTGTGTGTGTGTGTGTGTGTGTGTGTGTGTGTGTGTCTGTGTGTGTGCGTGCGCACGCACTAATATTGGGGCTTGTACTCGGGAGCCTTATATTTTCATCCCCAAGTTTTTTTTGGGTCTGGTGGTGGGGCCTGAACTCTGGGCCTGGGCGCTGTCCCTCAGCTCTTCAGCTCAAGGCTAGCACTCTACCACTTGAGCCACAGCACCACTTCCGGCTTTTTTTTTTCTTTTTTCTTATGTGGTGCTGAGGAATGGAACCCAGGGCCTCATGCATGCAAGGCAAGCACTCTACCACTGAGCCACCTTCCCAGCCCATCATCCCCAAGTTTTTTACTCATGGCTGGTACTCTACCACTTGAGCCACACTTTTGGGGAGTTTCTTTGTCAGTCACAGGACTTCAACTCAGGGCCTGGGTGCTCTCCCTGAGCTCTTTTTGCTCAAGGCTAGCATTCTACCACTTTGAGACACAGCACCACTTCTGGCTTTTGAGTAGTTACTTGGAGGTAAGAGTCTCATGGGGACTTTTCTGCCTGAGCTGACTTCAAACTGTGATCCTCAGAAATCAGGCTCCTAAGTAGCTCAGATTAAAGGTGTGAGTCACTGGTGCTCCACTTCCTAATGGTGTTTTGAAGAATGAGAATGCTGCAACATTAACAGCAATCCTCAGCGAGGCTAGGAACCTGGGAACTGCCACATAAAACGTCTGGTGCCAGCCGGGCGCCAGCGGCTCACGCCTGGAATCCTAGCTGTTCAGGAAGCTGAGATCTGAGGATCGCGATTCAAAACCAACGCAGGCAGGAAAGTCCATGAGACTTATCTCAAATAAACAACCAGAAAACTGCAAGTGGCATAGTGGCTCAATGGTAGAACGCTAGCTTTGAGCTAAAGAGCTCAGGGACAGTGCCCAGGCCCAGAATTCAAGCTTCACAACTGAGAAGAAAAAAAAAATGTCTAGTACCAAACAGGACAGAAGACCCAAGGAGAACTAAGAAAGACGTAGGAAAGGTTAATACAGTGTGTTTCAGAAGAACTGACTTAACTTGGATTCACTGGCTCAAACAGACATATCGCATGGACCAGACAGGTCAACAGGGAACAGAGAGCAGGCACAGTAAGGGGATGCTTGGGGAGAGCCAGTCCATTAAGATCGTGTGCTCTGAGATCCTCAGATGGCCAAGAGAGGAGGAGGAAGACTGGGGCCGCTCAATCCTACCTGGCCATGAACACAAGGCCAAGAGAGCAGGCTCCCTGGGCCTCCACACTCCTCCACTACTGGTATCGTGATTTCTCTGTCTTCCACTCCTTTAGGATCTGATGGAGGCCCTCTTCAGATCAATGAGCCATCCATGGAATCCCAGGCATCCAGGGCTGCCAGGCTCCACCTAGTTCGCAGGATTTCTCCCTATTTCTCCATGACTAGCTCAATGCCCCCAGAGCACCCTGTCCAGGAACTTATACAACTAAATGCACTAAAACCCTTGGCAGAGTTGCCTCAACAAGATACACCAGTGCCCTGGCCCCAACACCTGTGAATATGGCCTTGCTTGGTACACAGACCTTTGCAAATATAAGCTAAAGATGCTGAGTGAAATCAGACTATCTGGCAGGTACTAAACAAGTGTTCCCATAGTACACTAAGAGTAGACCACATGAAAATGGAGGTAAAGGGCTGGGAAGGTGGCTCAGTGGTAGAGCGCTTGCCTTGCATGCCAGAGGCCCTGGGTTTGATTCCTCAGCACCACATAAGAAAAAAGCCGGAAGTGGCGCTGTGGCTCAAGTGGTAGAGCGCTAGCCTTGAGCTGAAGAGCTGAGGGACAGCGCCCAGGCCCAGAGTTCAGGCCCCAGGACCGGACCAAAAAAAGAAAATAGAGGTAAAAACTGAGTGATATAAACTGGGCACCAATGGCTTACACCTGTAATCTTACCTACTCAGGAGGCTGAGATTGGGGATCAGGGTTTGAAGCCAGCTCCAGTAAGAAAGTCTGAGACCCAACCGGCTAGGAGCCAGCCAGTGTTCTACCCCTGCCAGTGTCCTCACAGGGGCCACCAGGCCTCCAGTCAAGATGAGTGATAAGGGGCTGGGAAGGTGGCTCAGTGGTAGAGCGCGTGCCTTGCATGCCTGAGGTTCGATTCCTCAGCACCACATAAGCAAAAGGAAAAAAGCCGGAAGTGGCGCTGTGACTCAAGTGGTAGAGCGCTCGCCTTGAGCTGAAGAGCTGAGGGACAGCGCCCAGGCCCAGAGTTCAGGCCCCACGACCGGACCCAAAAAAAAAGAAAAGATGAGTGATAAGCCAGACATGTCTGAAGTGGAAAAGTTTGACAGATCAAAACTGAAGAAAACTAATGCTGAGGAAAAAAACTCTTCCTTCAAAGGAAACTATCCAGCAGGAGAAAGAGTGTGATCAAACATCCTAAAATGCAGATTGCCTCTCAAGAGCAAGCTTCAACATCACCTGACATTCTTTCTTAATTTAGGCTTATTTCTGTAAAACTGTGTTTGTGGAGACTTGAGGCACCTGTAGATGATTTCTCTTCTATATTCCCTGGCTAAGAAGTCAACAGTAGCCAGTGTCCCCTTAAATTTGTTTTTAAGGTGAAATTTCAGAAGGTAGATGACATGCTGTCAGTAATCTCACTATTTGATGACCTTTGTGGGTGTGGTCCTTGTGTCCCTTACAGAGTGAGTCAGTTTAACCTACAATGGGTGCCTTCTGCTTCACAATACTTTTGTAGTCTCTTGATTTTCATTTACAATAAAGCATTAAAAGTTTTTTTTTAAAAAAGTAAAGTCTGTAAAACTCTTATCTCCCAATAACGACCAGAAAACCAGAAGTGGCACTGTGGCTCTACATGGTCGAGTGCTAGTCTTAAGCAAAAAAGTGCTCAGGGACAGCGCCAGGCCCTGAGTTCAGGTCCCATGACCAACCAGGGGAAAAAAAGAAAAGGAAAGAAAAAACTCAGTGATACCAACACAAGCCAAGAAGCACCTGAACACCCAGAGCTGGAGGAAGTTCAGAAGGGCTCTCCCCAGAACATTCCAAGTAAGCCCGAGTCACTGAGAACTGGAAAGGAAGAGGCCGACGCGCCCCAGCCAGACACGGAGCCCCGGCCGAGCCCCTCAACACTCACTTCAGGTCATATTCACTGGGGTCGAAGTCCTGCCGCCGGCATGTGTCCTCCAGAACCTGGAGACAGAGGACAGTGAGCCCCGCGTGAGACCCGCACGCCCCAGTCACAAAGGCCAGCGGGTACAGAGCCGGCCACCGGCTGCCCGCAGGGCCGGGCCGGGCCCTTCCCGGGCACTGCCCCCGCGGCTCC